GAAAACACAAATACAATCAATATAAAGCTTAAATTGAGAAAATGAACCTTTTTTTCATAGGATGTAAACGTAAAGTGTATATGCACATCTTTTATAAATAGTTCATGCTGTAAGATAAATGTTTTCATTTTTGGGCACATCTGCAAAGATAAATGCCGATATGTCATATATGGGTCGGGCTCTAATACATAACGATATGATTAAAAAATCCCACCTTGCAAGATTTTCAAAGTTTGTTCAATGTTATGAGAAACCTGACCTGTGTTTTTGTGACTGTTTGCATCAGCCTCATAGGGGAGAAGAACTCCATTCTGCAGCTGAGAGAGGAGCATGGTGTTGCATATCGGCGTGCCTTTCCTGGCTGCCAGCTGATTGACTGGCTCCTTCAGAACGGAGAAGCAGAGAGCCGGCGTCGGGGCGTGGAGTTGTGCCGTGCATTGCAGGAGCATGGAATCATTCAGCATGGTGAGGACAGCAATAATTTAAACTTTGATGTATGATAGTAGAATATGAGCAGGCCATCAGTGGCTGCAAGCAGTGGGTGGCCAACTTGGAGTTTAGCAATCTAAAGCAAAAACAGTGGAAAATCATGTAATTCTTGTTTAATGTTTCACTGCATCTTTGTGCTCTCTCTGTCTCCCTCTCTCACTCCAACCAGTGGCAAATAAACATGACTTCTTCGACAGTGGACTACTCTATCAGTTCTGCATCAATTTTCGCCGAAGACGCCGACTATCTGAACTTTTAAATGAAGGTGAGCAAGACGACGACACTGAAAGTGTGGCGGTGTCGACACAACAAAACAACCACTCGGACAGTCCATTTGTTGTGCGCAAAAACTCACCCCAGGAGGGCAGCAGTGCTTTCCACTATGGTAAAAAAATACATCTCTACACTCTTTGTGAACAATAATTACAGCATGGTAACTTCACTACTGATTCAATTATAGTGGGGTCAAGTACAGACCTGAAACCAGCGCAGGGTGGGCGCAGGGGAAGCTTGAATTCCCTTCAGCTTCACTCTGCTGGATTTCCACCTCTGGCCCAGTTATCCTCCGCCTCAGTGGTGAGATGTAACCCTAAATCAGGCAAGTGCATAGTTCATATTCATCTGACTACTACTTTGGTATATTCATACTTTCTTGTGAAAGTGTATAAACGAAAACTTTTCATGATTTTACAGTCCTTAAAAGACATTTCACATGTGAAGAATTATTGGCGCCTGGTGCTCCCTTCATCAAGAAAGTGTTGACGGTGAGTTGCTGAGCTGTTTATGAACAATTTTATTGCATTATTTCCATTTAACCTGGACATTTTTCCCTTTAATGTCTAAAAGTGGGTATACCATTACGTATTATATACTCTCTGTTTACAGTACATTATAATTTGCCATGTCTGTGGTATTTTCTATTATCAGTACCTGCAATTTCATCCAATATGCGCAATAATCCTTGTGTCTGTTTACATCGAATTTAACTATTTATTCAACATGTAATTTCATTCAGTTACCTGCAATATCCTAATGTCTGTTTGTACCATAGTTATCTACTCACTCTTTTACTTATATTATAACTACTTTAGAAAGCTTTTATACATACTCAGCAAACCATAGCGATTGTATTTGTGAGCTAGTTGCAAAATCATTTTACTTCTTTCAACTGTGCACTTGTTTAGTGTGTGATGTGAATGACAATAAAGTGAATCTTAAAGTCTAAATTACTATGATGGAATCCTTCTGAGCTTAAGCTTTTGCCAACAGTTTAAGTGATATTTAAAAATAAAATCATTCTCATTTATCCCCTGCTCACAACCAAGAAGAGACACATGCGTCTTCGTAGACATTATTTCATCCATGTGAACAAATAAAGTTGTATCTGACTACGTCCAAACTATACAGAATCCATTTGATTCCCCCTGAATGTGTGACGTCTCTCTCACCATGATCACAGGTGATAGGAGACCCCCTGGGCTGGGGCTTTGTCGTCAGAGGCAGGGCTCCCTGTTATGTTCAGGCCGTTGACCCTGGAAGTCCAGCAGCAGCTGCTGGAGTGAAGGTCAGAAACATGTACATAGGTACACACGTAAAACACAAAGAAAACGGACATTTACAGAATCATCACCTATGTACCTGATGTGATCGTGTGCAGGTGCAGCAGTTTGTGTGCCAGGTGAACGGACAGTGTGTCCTCGACCTGGACTACAGGACCATGACCAGACTGGTGATGACTGGACCTCGCATTGTTGTACTAGAAGTGATGGAACCACTGGAATGACAACAACTCGTCATCACCTCTGATTCTTTTGGCATCAGCTGGATTTTAAATGTCATGTTGTTGAACAGATTTCTGAGGGGGCAGAGGTCATGAGCCCATTGACGGAAAACAAACAAATCAGAGAAATGTTTATCGGAGCAAGATTGAACAGTGCAAATGGTTGTGTTTTTACGATCCTGAATGAGCGAACAATAATGTATGTTTTTATAACAGAAAATAAAGCATTGTAGTAAGAGAACCACAATAAATACAAACTTTTGGCCCTTCATCCTGCGCTCCCGGCTCCCTGCTACGACTTCCGTCTTTATGTCGTCGCCATTTTGGATTGAGAGTTGGCTCACTTGTGTTAGACAGTGTTAGCTAGCAGGCTGGCCTGACCAAGCGCCAGGAGTGCTCGGAGGACATCGGGTGCCGGGTGGTGCCGTGGCTGTGTCCACTGTCGGAGTTTACTGTTTCTCGTGACACGTGCATCGCTCTGCGCCGGCTTTTGTCCCTTCAGCTAGCTAGCAGCAAAGCAGATGTGACAGCTAACTAGCTAGCGTGGTTAGCTAGCCAGTCGTGGCGCTGTAGAGAGCATCAGCACCGGCTCCGAGGAGAGCGAGCATCCAGCCTGCACGTCCACGATCAGCCTCTCAACACCTCCGTTCACCATTTATGTAGCGAGGCGACCCGTGTGAAGCTAGTCTTCATACGTGCAGAGAGGTGAGTGAGACGCATCCACAGATCTATGTGAAGATGGAGAAATAAATGCCATGCATCGCTAGTTGCTAAGTAGGTGGCCAACTGCGGGCAACGGGGCTAAGTTAGGCTAGCACAGTTAGGCTAGCACACAAAGCAAAACACAGCATGGTCTGTAGAAGTCTCATTCCGGTGATCACTAGACACGATGGAGCAGCACAGGTCGTAGATCTGCTCCGTGATCCAGTACCATTGGTCAAATGCAGTAATGCCATCAGCGTGGAAGGATAGCGTGAAGCATGTTTACTGAGACAGCACCGGGCCCCGGGACAAACCAGAGCTGAGATCATAGATGATCATATTTATCATAATGAGCACATTTACTGACAGTGGTTTAATGAATGGAGAAAAGTCTTGAGAGCCCGTTTCACCCTCTTATGATGTTAGTGTGTGAACTGTGTCATGTTCTGTTGAATTGCATTTAAAGCGTCATTGGAGCCCAACTCTGACTAAGCTGTGTTATTGTTTTTCAAGAGAGATGTATCAGCTCCCAGTAAATAACCTCACCAGAATCAGGAGAGCGAGAAAACAAGTGAAGAAAGCACTCGGAGACATTGGACTGGAGTTCTGCAAGGAGGCTGCAGAGGTGAGTATGTTTTACCAAGGTGATTCATGTTGGAGAAGCTCTAAAAGTGAATTGAGGATCATTACCTTTAAAGAAGCTTATATATGATTACCGTTAAGTTTAAAGGTGAGAGGGTTCAATTTTAATCTCTGGAGTTTCTATGCCAACTGAGGAGAATTTGTAAAAAAAACCCAGTGTAAGATAAGTGTTGTTTGATGTAAAACAATACACTTTGCACATATTGACTATACTTTGACTCACTGAGATTAACAATTGTGTGTTAATCTTTACATTTTAATTACACAGGAGTTCAAAGAGTTTTGCCCTAATGAGCAGTTTGTAAAGGGCAGTCTCTGCCTTGATATCTGCGGATGGGATCCATCATATTCTAAAACACAGGTAAATATCATTTTTGTTCTCCAAAATGTTTTTAAGTTGTTACTCACAAATCCATGTATTAATGATATGATTTTGTTCCCCTGATGTCTTGTTAGGAATACAGGTCAAAGCCATTTTGCTGCACAGAGTGCCCGTTTTCTTCCAAGTACTACTCAGGCTACAAGAATCACTTCCGCAATGTACACAGGAAAAGCTTTGACAATAAGATTCTGCTCAACTGCCCATACTGCTCATTCACCGCAAGCAAGAGAACTTTGGAGACGCATGTTAAAATATTCCATCTACCCAGTTCAGCACGGCAGAGCATTGGGAGCACACAGAGAACCGCACTGCAGAAGACGAACAAAACGTATCTTGATAGAATCAGACAGGGAGATGGTGTCGAGAGAGCAATGTACTTTTGCAAAAAATGCTCTTTCCGGGACAGTCTGTACAATGTTGTGAGAAGGCACATCTATAGGGAACATTTTCAGCATATTGTCTCACCATATCTTGGAATAGTTTCAGAATCGTCTGTCAAAAATGGTGCAAGCTCTGTCAATGGTAACAACATCCTCTGTAAACGCTGCCAATTTTCCACTCGTAACTATGAGGCTCTGGTACAGCATGTTATAGAGTACCACGAGCGCATTGGTGCTCAGGTAACCACTATGATTGGACATGCTAACATTGTTGTCTCCAGGTCCCAGACCCTACCAGCTCCATCTATGATCATTAACAGGGGCCACACAATTAGAGCTGAATCAACAGCACAACCAGTTATAGGATATTTGAAGCCAGTGGCCCCTGTTGTTAAAAATCAGGCACCCATTGCAGCCAAACAGATGCGGGCCACAGTTGCTTGCAACAACACTGTGACTGAAACTAATGCCGGTGGTGTATGCACAGCCCAGACACAGAAGTGGAAGATATGCACAGTTTGCAATGAGCTTTTCCCTGAAAACCTTTACAGTGCTCACTTTGAAAGTGCACACAAGGCAAAGAGAGTGTGGGCACTGGCTAAATACATCATGAAAATCCACAACTTCACTAGTAAGTGTTTGCTTTGCAACCGCTACCTGCCCAGTGACACTCTACTCAACCACATGCTAATTCACGGACTCACTTGTCCCCAGTGCCACTCAGCTTTTCACAGTGTTGAGAAAATCATGGAACACAAGGCTCAGACTCACCCCGATGACTTTGTGGGACCCCCGGGTGCATCGCCGCTAACCTTCGATCTCACGATTAAACAAGACAAGTCCTGTAATGTTCAGCTTGTGGTTCTCACATTTAACATGAAGGAGTCTATCAATGGTCAAGATCAGTCGGCACCTGCTCAGAATAGTGTTCCACCTCCTGTCAAAGTAACCACTCAAAGAATGATTGAGAACAAAAGTGAACAGCTCAGTCGAGGTTTATCTTCAACAAAAAGTGAAGTACGTAAGACGCTATGTCCGCTGTGTTTCACCATCCTCAAAGGTCCAATCTCTGATGCTTTGGCCATGCATTTGAGGGAGAGGCACCAAGTGCTCCAAACAATGCATCCTGTTGAGAAAAAGATGACATACAAGTGCATTCATTGCTTAGGAGTGTACACTAGTAACATGGTGGCCTCCACAATAACACTGCATCTTGTGCAGTGCAGAGCAGTTGGAAGGAACCAGGCAAGCCAAGGCTTCAAGTCGGCCTTGACGCTTAACTCGTCTGGGGCTGGCTTTCTCAAGAGGCAGCCACCAGTACAGGCCACATCCAATCCCAAGAGGTTAAAGCTAAGTAAGGACTCAAGGATTTCCTCAACAGCCATCGGAAATCAAGCTGAATCTGATGGTCTTGCACTGGATCCAAGAAGCTATGAGCACAAGACATATGAAGCCAGGAAAGATTTCCTAACAGCCTACTTCAACCGTCAACCATACCTTTCTGCTCAGGAAGAGGAAAAGCTCTCTGCAAGTCTGTGGCTGTGGAAATCCGATATTTCTAGTCACTTTGTAACCAAGCAAAGGATGTGTGAGAAACACTGTGAGACCAAGCAGGTGTCTGTGCTGCTTGGCTTTGACATGCAGGCTCTCAAGAAAGTTAAGCATGAGATGATCTTTGAGGAGAGCAAACTCGTGGGCACCTTGGTGGGCAGACCTGGAGGCCTGAAGTCTGGCACTCCAAGCACACACCAAAACAAGCAGTGTGAAACACTAAACTGTACCTTGAAACTTAGCACAAACACAGAGACCATTTCTATTGACTCCGACAGTGAACCAGAAACCGAAGAGAGACCAGCTGAGAATGGAAATGTTGAAATGACCCGAGAAGAGAATGTAAAATCCCTGGAGCCTATAAACCTGACAGAACCTGTAAACACAGACGAGCCTTCCAGCGAGAAGGACGGTCCATTGCAAGATGGGAAAGCAAATGCTTGGATGACTTTCTGTTAGTTTTCCTGCTTTGTGGTGTGCCTTGGTGGAGCAACAGTTCATGTTTAAAGGAGTGTATTAGCTAAGATGAGAGGACAAACTACAGACACTTAAATATCAAATGATGTGTCACTAAAACTCTATTTCCACACATTAACCACGTTAGTGGTGGAAACAATGAAAGGACTGCATTATAGTGCATAAATATACAGCATATGTAAGTGACATTGTATATATTTGAGCCATTATTCTTTGTTAGTCTCTTCATGAAATCTGTGTTATTCACTGGTTATTCACAAGACTTAGGATGATATCAACTTTACCTACTTCTATAGTTTTTTTTCTCGACTGACAAAGAACTGTAACATGTCGTCATTTCACATTTAGAAAGTGTAGAATATGCTTATTGCTTATGTACACATTTTAATAAATGTTTGTTTAATAAAAAATATATTCTTTTTTTTCTACACCAATCACTGTCTGACAATTATCTTTTGGGCCAGGTATTGTCCAAACTGACCGCTGCTCAACGCATGATGCAGCGCAGCCTCAGTAAGTAGAGCAGCAAAATAGTTTTTTATGATAGTTCTTAATGGAATTAATGCAAGATAAATAATGTAAGGTTACTATAAATGTAAATGTTTTGACATGTGTTCAGGGCACTGCAAGAGGAAGATTATATTGTTAGTAGAAAATGACATTTACTGATTGGATTTTAGGAACAAGAGTTAAATACTGCTTGCAGCTCATCCATGGTTATATCATTAAATGGAAATCTTTATTTATAAAGAGTGGTACTACAGTAGACTGCAGGTTTGCAGTGAGTCCATCCTCATTGGTCAGAGACACAAATAAAGCAGTGTCTTTCTTCAACCATTCTGGCGTCACTCCACGGGCCCCCTGACTTCCTGTTTGCCTCCGACGCTGATTGGCGCAGGAGCAGCGGGAGGGCGGGACTTCTGGCGGGTACAGTAGCAGAATTGGCCAACCGCCAGCGTGCATCAGCGCCAGTCTGCAGCCGCAACAATGTCCATATTGTGTCTGCAGGCTCACGTCCAGCGTTTAGTGACTCCATAGCTGCAGCCTACCCGAGAACCAGCCCTGAGCAGCAGTAAGTACACATGTCAACCATCGAGCAGAGCCACGGATGCAGCTAGCGGGATTTTTCATGCGTTCCCCGTGCACTGTTAGTAAACAGCTAGTTAGCAGCAGAGGCTAAAGCTGGTTGTATCTACGTGACCTGCAGCTGTCAGCGAGGAGACGTTGCCATGTAAACGCACATATTTGGTTTAACGCACATCGGAGCGATTGAATGATCAGTTATTTGATTTCACAGTGCTAACCCTGCAAGTCAGCTGGTAGCTCACGTTTGTTGGGAAATATTTGCCCCATGGTTTGGATCAGATGTTCTGATCATCCGAGTCCTCCTGTGGTTTCAGTTCATGTCTGCAGATCAGGGGGGAGTCTATTTTAGTTTAGATTTACTCATTATCATTGTATTCTAATGCAGTACGTGTATTTGCACTAAAATATAATCTCACCAATGACAATGTGACTGATTGAAAATATGCAGATTGGATGAATTGCACATCTCTACCAACTCTCTTGGTAGAAATGCATATATTACAGAAATGAATGGGAACCAGTGGGTGTTTACAGCAGCACAAGTTGCATCACGTGTCCTGACATGAACTAACATAACCTTCTCTCACCCCTGGCTGCTCCCAGACTGCTGCTGCGAGGAGAAGAGGCTCTAATGTGGCAGGCGACAGAGTGAGAGGAATGGCAGAAGAAAGTGTTGGATCTGACTAGGCTGGCTGTGTGTTGGAGCTTCACACTGTGGACATAATGTCGTACAGCAACAGAGAGCTGGTGGAGTTCTTTATCAGTTACAGGCTGTCTCAGAGGAACTATCCCACCTCTCTACTGAGGCCAGAGGATGCTGGTGGGAGGACTGAGGGAGACAATGCCACCTCGGCCGCCAGTAATGGCTTGCTGGTCAACTGCAGGGACAGGTGTGGCGAGCAGGGGAGGCCACCCGTCACCCCGAGCGGTGGCGTGGAGGCCGTGAAGGCAGCTCTCCTAGACTCTGCTGAAGAGTTTGAGCTGCTGTTCACGCAAGCGTTCAGTGAAGTTTCCTTGCAGCTCGACATCACGCCTGACACAGCCTACCACAGCTTCAAGAATGTGATGGATGAGGTGTTCAAGGACGGAGTCAACTGGGGACGTATAGTGGGCCTGTTTTCTTTTGGGGGTGTGCTGTGTGTGGAATGTGTGGAGAAGAATATGAGCGAGCTGGTCTCCCGCATTGCAGACTGGATGACCATGTACCTGGATGAGCGCATCAGTCCGTGGATCCAGAGCCAAGGAGGCTGGGTGAGTCTCCGGAGGGTGGACCCAACGTGCATCCTCATGTGTGACACAGACTGTGGGTGATCCAGAACCAATAAGAAGCAGATTGGGGTTTGGCCGTAATGTGACTCGCTCAATACAATCATTGTCAATATCATTCTGAAATTCAGCGTTTTAGTTATTAATTACAATCTTTCAGTTACAGCGAGGAGTGAGCTATCAAATGAAATTATTAGTGCCACAGCAAAGCCTGGCTTCCTGATACTTTACATACAAATGAACCCACATAAATTTCACACAGTGAAGTTTACAGATTTTAAATGTGGGGAAACAAAGATCACAGCTATGAGATCAGTACCATGCAGTGGCAGATTCTGTGGGTTGAGGGCCACTCAAACCGCTTTTCAGTACAGCTTTGCCGTTCATCCATTCACACACACAGAGTTCATCTGTGCTGCACTTCCTCTATCACACATCACTCATACACTGTCAGCGCAGCATTGGCTGTCAGGGTTCCACTGCAAAATAAAAAATACATTTGTCAGATTTAATTTTAAACAATTTCTGGATTATTTGATTAAACCAAGCTCAATCATCTTGGGTGGTGCAAAACAAAGGATGCAGCAACCTGCACCTGCGAAACAGTCTCTGGGAGAATTTGTACAGGTGGAA